ACTTCTTCCTTACTAGGTCCAGTCAGCATAATGTTGTCAGTGTAATGGACCAATGTGATGTCTGATGGAGGGAAAGGTGATCAGGGTCCCTGCAGACTAAATTATGACATAGGGCTGGAGATTTGATATACTTCTGAGGTAGGACACTGAAGGTGTATTGCTGGCCTTGCCAGATGAAGGCAAACTGCTTCTGGTATTCCTTAGAAACTGGAATTGAAAAAAAGGCATTGGCCAGATCAATAGCTGCACACCATGTAGCAGGAGATGAATTAATTTGCTTAAACAATGAAACCACATCTGGAACAGTAGCTGCAACTGGAGTCACCACCTGTTTCAATTTACAAAAATCCATAGTCATTCTCCAAGATCTGTCTCCTTTTTGCACAGGCAGTATAAGCAAATTGAATGGGGATGTGATGGGAATCACCACCCCTGCATCCTTCAAGTCCTTGATAGTGGCAGTAATCTCTGCAGTCCCTCCAGAAATGAGGTATGGCTTTTGGTTTACTATTTTCCTAGATAGGGCAGTTCTAATGGCTTCCACCTGGCTTTTCCTACTATAATAGTCATTACTCCACTTGTCAGGGATCCAATGTGGGGGTTCTGAGAGCTGCTGAGAGTATCTATCTATTCCAATTGTGCATTCTGGACCTAGGAAAATCACTATAGAATGGGTTCAGGGGCCCACTGGACACTGTGAGATGAACCTGAGCTAAGACTCCACTAACAACCTGACCTCCATACACCCCACTCCAACTGGTGGGCCACAGTGATGTTTTGGGTCTCCTGGAATTAGTGTCTGTTCAGAGCCAGTATACAATAATCCCCAAAAAGTCTGATTATTTCCTTTTCCCCAATGAACAGACACTCTCATAAAAGGCCATAGATCCCATTGGGGAAGCCTGGGAGAAAGATTAACAGTATAAATTTTTGGCAGTGTAGTGGGGCCCTTCCTCAAGGGGACCTAGCCTACCCTTCATTCAAGGGGTTATGTTGTTGTTATTAGGTGCCATCGAGTCAGTTCTGATTCATAGCGACCCTACGTACAACAGAATGAAACACTGCCTGGTTCTCTGCCTTTCTCAAGGTAATCAGCCAGCAACCTGGTGGCAGGTTGATTATACTGGACCACTTCCATCATGGAAAGGGCAACGTTTTCTTCTTACTGGAATAGACACTTACTCTGGATATGAATTTTCCTTCCTTGTACACAATGATTCTGCCAAAACTACCATCCGTGGATTTACAGAACGCCTTATCCACTGTTGTCATGGATTGAATTGTGTCCCCCCAAAATATCTGTCAACTTGGCTAGATCATGATTCCCAGTATTGCATGATTACCCACCATTTTGTAATCTGATGTGATTTTCCTATGTGTTGTAAATCCTGTCTCTATGATGTTAATGAGATGGGATTAGCAGCAGACCCAATCTACAAGATTAATCTACAATTAAGCCAATCTCTTTTGAGATATAAAATAGAGAAACAATCAGAGAGACATTGGGACCTCATGCCATCAAGAAAGTAGTACCCAGGTTCCCTGCACCAAGAAGCTTCTAGTCCAGGGGAAGATTGATGACAAGGACCTTCCTCCATAGCTGACAGAGAAAGACTTCCCTTCAAGCTGATGCCCTGAATTTGGACTTCTAGCTTACTAGACTGTGAGAGAATAAACTTCTGTTTGTTGAAGCCATCCACTTGTGGTATTTCTGTTATAGCAGTGCTAGATAACTAAGACAACCATCATGGTATTCCACACAGCATTGCCTTGGATCAAGGGACTCACTTCACAGCAAATGGAATACTCATAGAATTCACTGGCCTTACCATGTTCCCCATCATCCTGAAGCAGCTGGCTTGATAGAACAATGGAATGGCCTTCTAAAGACACAATTACAGCACCAGCTAGGTGGCAATACCTCATAGGGTTGGGTCAGTGTTCTCCCGGAGGCTTTATATGCTCTAAACTAGTAGCCAATACATGGTGCTATTTCTTCAATAGCCAGGATTCCTGGGTCCAGGAATCAAGGGATAGAAATGGAAGTGGTACCACTCACTATTATCCCTAGTGACCCACTCGAAAAAATTTTGCTTCCTGCCCCATGGGCCTATGCTCTGTAGGTCTAGAGGTCTTAGTTCCAAAAGAAGGAATGCTACTGTCAGAAGATACAACACTGATTCCATTGAAATGGAAGTTAAGAATGCCACCTGTTGGAGTACTATGCAATGAGAAAAAACAACAATGAATCTATGAACCATCTCATAACATGGATGAAACTGGAGGACATTATGCTGAGTGAAATAAGTCAATCACAAAAGGACAAATATTGTATGAGACCTCTATTGTAA